TGTCCTGACTCCCACATTCCACTGTTGCCTAAAACCTGCCAAAATGAAGACACTCTACCTAAAATGCAGAGAAGCAAAACCCAGAAGTGTAAACGGTGTGCCACTTCATAACACAGTGTTTAATTAGCAAACATTGATCCTTCTGAGACACACCATTTGCACGGTGCATTACAGTCCCCTCATTAAAAAGAGGGAAGCCTCCTCAGACCTGTATTTTATACTCTGAAATATCTGACCTTATTCAGAGTGTATTTTTCACTAACTCCTTTTTGAAGGCAAATGCTGCCTAGGACGTCCCACGGATACACCTTGGGCACAGTGTATGATAACAGCATGAGCTGCTAGTCATGGGAGTCCTTAGCTCCTCTGTCCTGTTTTGTGAAAGCACTGCCACCTTGAATTTCATTTCTGCAGCTGGGAAGTTGCAACATGGGAGAATTTGTTCTCAGTTTCCCTTATTCTCTTGCTGGTTTCTAGTTTTTTATAGGGAAAACAATGAATAAAAGCTCTCAGGCTTGGCACCTCAGCACAGTCATTTGATACCTCTTTCAGTGACCAGCCCTCCCCGACATAAAGGTGAGTTTTCCTGAAACCCTTCATAGGGACTGGACATCTCTCAGAGCTGCAAAATGCCAACATTAGCTCCCGCTCTGGCCTTTGACAAGTGTTTTCAGTAGTTTAAGGTCAAAGTTTCAGAGACTGGAGCATGAGGCTATTGTGCTCCTGTGAGGCAGCAATCACAAGACTGTGGAACTATGAATGGGAAGCCAGGAGATGTTGCAAACCTGCACAAGAGCTTGTGGTGATGGAGCAAAGTGCTAGGGAATACCTGTGAGTCTGCCTAGCCTTCAGAAGCCTGTGAAATCTTTTAAAGGTGACAGAAGTCACATGAGGAAGATTGTAGCATCTTGTAAACACTCTGGAGGGTGAAACCAATGCAGCAAACAAATGGCTCCCAGCCATTAATTGCCCCAGAAGGGCAGCCACTGATTTATTAAAATATATATAAAACTTTGTTACAGTTGTCCATGCTATACAGAAGGTACGCCAAAAGTAAAGTGATGGGGTAGCAACAAAAAAATCCTTAAACACACATCAAGAAGAACTATACTACTTAAGAGTTCAGAAAAAGGTCTGAAAACTTGCAGAACAAAGAGGCAAGAAACAACACAGAAGGAAATGGGGTTGAACACTGCAAAGACAATCTAAGTAATTTCTTCCTGCTGCAAATACCTTTTCAAACTCAAACAGAGACATCAGTGTTTTTCTATCCCTGTTCCCTGAAAAAATTTTATGGAGCCAGCACAGCAGAAAGCTCCCCTGCACACTGTTGCAGGTCTCAGGTGTGAGTTCCCTGGAAAGTGTGCCAGAATTGCTCCAGCCAATCCTGCAGCACATGGAGGCAGCAGCAGAGCTCCTGTTCCAGCAGTCTCTGGGCAGATGGCAGCACCTGAGACTCCCAGACACTGCTGTTCTCCAAAGACTTTATCAGAGAGTATACAGAAAAGGTGCAAGTTTTTCTGCAACTAAGTTGATGGGATCAACAGCCAGCTACACGCTGCAGAGAGCTAGTTATGTACTTCTTCTAGATGCTGAAACCCTAGTAATGCACAAATCAGAAACGTCTTTGAAAATGAAGGAACCACCACCAAAGATAATTTCAAAAAATAAAGCAAAAAATGAAATAAGCTTTCCTGGGATAAAATATGGAAATAGTCTCTCTAGAAGTGTTCTTTGCATTAAGTGGCAAAATCTATTGAAACACAGTGCAGACAGAGGTGGGGCCAGAGGGGAAGAGGGTGATGGCATCATGATACACTGCTGTCTCCTTCTATTACCTCCCACTAGCAGAAAACAAACCTGAAAAGGCCCAACTTTCCCTTCACAACTGAATCACAGAAATGCAAACACTGTGCCACAGCCTCCAACCTGCTCTGTGCGTGCAGGCTGCCTCTGAACAGCACAGCAGGGACATGTTTGGTGCCACAGGTCTGAACATGGTTTGCCATTTGCATAGTCAGGAGCAAACACATAGAAAAGCTCAAACATCCCCCAAGAGAATCCTCTTTGGCTACAAAGCAAGAGACCATTACAAGATGGTGTCAATATGGAACATCTAAATGATTTACACAGAAGTCATTTGGGAAATAAAACAATCCATTAAGGATTAGCAGTGCCATGTTAATGTGATATAACAGGACAAAAAGAAGCAACTGAACACACAACAAAGTTAGGTCCTGATGGATAAACATAGGAAAGGACAACCCATATTTTCAATTTACCACATATATTTAGGCATTGTAGCAGAGTTGATACACAGAATTTGCAGTCAGTAAAGTCTTGCAATATCTATTTAAGACAAAGTGGTGACTGACTGAGAGAAGATGTTTAATTGTTGCAAATCAGTGTAGCTTTAATAAAAACTACAGAACTATGTTAAATTATAGCAGCTGGGAACAGCATCTGAAAAAAGCGTGGAGCTCCTAATTTGTGGTGCAGTTATTTGAAAACAATTCTGCAAGGGAAGTTGGAAGAAACAGCACTGTGTTTCACTATTTAAATTCATGTGGTTCTAAAAGTGAGAATGTAAAAACAGAAAGCTGAGAAAACGAACTTTTGGCAATGACATCTGACAACAGCAAAGGAGTGCATTCTTGTCCTGCACAAATAGCAATAGGAATGATTAAGCTTTAAAACACACACATGTACAAACAAGAACACACGTAATAAGCCAAGAGGCCAGAACTATGTCAGGATCACAAATGCGTAAGACAAATAAATATATTTAAAAGATTCTGATACCACATGAGGGAACATTCATCATGAGGTTAAAACATTTCTAAAAGAGAGATGATTTCCTTTCTCCAGCCAGTTGCAACATTTCATTTTCCCAGAGCAATGGAAGTGAAGGAGGCAGTGAGGTAGCACACACAAGGTCACCCATCCTGTTAGTGACTTAGCAGAAGTAAGCACATCTCTCAACTCACAAACTGGATTTTAACGACACCACTTGCAGGAAATCCTCCTGCCTTTTACTGGTTAGGGCACTGGAAAAAGTCAGCATTGCAAACAGAACATTGCAGTCATACCAACAAGCAATTCAACACTTAAACTTTTCAACAGACAAGAGAGTATTTTACTTCTGGTTTTATAATGCCAAAGTCAACAACTCATCATGAACACATGACTTGTCTAGCTGGTCATCAATGTCTCAAAATAATCTCCTATTAAAGCCTCAACCAAGGAAACCTACTCACTTAGATAAAAAATATGTGTACACAGGGAGACCACTTGAAAAATTACACCTTTGTTCTCCTTTTCTGGAAGTTAGTATAGAAGGATGGAGAAAAGTCCAAGTCCATTAAATCAAACACTAACTTTTTACTAGTAATTAGCATGCCATATAATGCTACAACCAGGTACACAAAAGCATTGAAACTATGATTTACAACACCTAAAACCTTAGGTATCTGTAAGCAGTGCCCAAAGAGCACAGCAAAGCCAGTGGAAAGTCTCCTTGACCCTGTTTTCAGTAAGGACTTTTAAAAATATATATTTTTATATTGCTATCAATAAAAACCCATTTGAAAACCAAAACTGAAGGTTAAAAATAAGGCAAAATATTATGCATGGTTGATGAAATTTAACCCTGTTAATTCGACAGCTTCATTTCACAGTCAGTAAGAATCTAATACTACCCTAATAAATGTTTTTTACAAGTTTTTTGCAAAGTGTCATGCATGAACACAACTAAAATAGTGCCTTTTCAAGCATTTAATGCCATCAAATTCAATATCTGCAAAAGAAACCACTGTTTTCTCAAAACAGCAGAAGTAAGTAAAGAATTGGAGATGGCTCGAAGGTAATGCCTAAAGCATAAGGGCAATGGAAAACTTCTGATCTCTTCCAAGTATACTAAAAAATATCCACATGAATTTTAATGCTCAACAAAGGTGCTAACTTTAATGAATCAACTTAGATAGGTAGTTAATCATACAAAACCTTCATTACCCTTTCTTCTCTCTTAACCATTTTTTGTATTTGTACTTCTTTACCGCAGTGAAAAAGCTGAATTTGAAGGAACATATAGCAGAGTCCCTTGGAGAGCTTCAAGGGCTATCCTGCCTTCTCTGCCACTTCAGGTAACTTAATTGCAGTGTTAACACCACAAATCATCAGTGCAGGCTTCACTGACTGACCCTGCAACCTGAGTGTGGACTCAACTTTGCCAGCAGCACATGCGGAGAAGCTCCACAAACGACAGTGAAGGACAGAGCATGAAACAGACACAAAAATGTGTTTACATGTTCAGGAGGGGCAAGGACCTTCTCTAATCCCTGCTTATTTGGATTATGTTTGATAAGTAGCACTAATCTCTATGGAGTTTATGTGCCATGTAACTGATAGTTACTCAGCGTTATGATTTTTTTAAGCCTCGCTGGTCACAGTTGTTCTCTGTAATTTTTTTTGTTTGTTTGAAATGCTTTTTGAATTTATTTCCTTATAAATTACAATGAGAGGAACTGGGGAAAATACCTTCTCTTTTACAACTTCTTACAGATGTTGGGATGTCTTGTGACCTGCCTGCCTGGATACTACACAATCACAGCCTGACTCTGCACTCCAGGATTTACCAAGAGGCTCAGATGGGGTTGGCTGGAATTTTTACAAAGTATGCTCCTGAAACACTTGTGTCAGTGGAGGAGGACACTGTGCAAGTGTACATGTGAGCAAAATCAATTTAAACTAAGAATTACTAGTAGAAGGTGACTGGTGACCAGCCTACAGGGGAATGTCTGGTGATGTGAGAGGTCATGCAGCACTCTGGTTATCAGGCCTCATACATAAGGCAGACCAAAGAGGTGTGCAACAACGGGGACCTGGTAAAACATGGGGGATGCTGAAAGACCGTTGGGGATTTTTGATAGGAAAAAGGAGAAACAATCTCTACATTACACAAACAGGACACTTGAAAAGTCACAGAAATATCCCCGACTTACTTTTATCTTCCTGGTTTTCTTCTGCTGCTTTGCCTTCCTCTTCCTCCTCCTCCTCGACCTCCTTCTGCTGTGCTTCTTCGTGGTGCTCGGCAGCACCGACCGAGAGGCTCTGGCAGCAGTGGTTGAAGCCGCTGTCCCGGGGCAGAGTGAAACTTCGGGGCTTTCCCCCGTTCCCGTTCAGCACTTGCATCCGCTCCCCCTCCACGAGGGGGAAGGGGCCGTAGTGATCCTGCAGGTGGCACTTCTGGGTGGGCAGGGTGGACTGGCGCCGGTGCTCGGGGGACACCACGGCCACCTCGGAGAACACGGAGTCCTCCAGGGGCAGCGTCTGCAGGTAGTGCAGTCCCGAGCTGGTGAGCGGCGTCTCGATGAGGTCCTGCCAGGAGCGCCGCTGGCTCGCCGTCTTGCGCACCGGGGACTCGGTGGCGCTGCCGGCCACCTCGGCGCGGAACTCCTCGTGCGACGACTGCGACTGCGACGTCTCCGTGGACGACAGGCGGCTGTGCTTGGGCTCCACGTAGGGACTCGTGCAGCTCATCTGGAACGGCAGCAAGGGCAGCCTCACATCAATGCACAGCGAGACCGCTGCTAACAATAACCTGTCACTCTGCTCTATCAGCGATGGCACCCCGTTCATTAACGAGTTGCAAACTTACCTAATTAACCTGTCCTGATCCTAATTTTAATGCATGCCCATGTCTGTGTATGTCACACCTGTAGGTCAAATACTGATAGTTACTCATAATAAGTATCTTTACTATGTCACTTAATCCATAAAATAAACGAAAAAAATTTGCAGAAAACTTCGCAAAATATGGCACCGTGGAAGACTTATAGAAGAGATGTACCTGATTCATTCAAAACCTTAAAAATGTTATCCAAATGCCTGTTGTTATCCTATTTTGCTTTTCTGTGAAATCATGCCTGCAGTGCTTCAGTACTGTCATTCAAAGATAAATAATTTTAAAGATAAATTAAACATCATGAATGCTCGCTTTCTCCTGAATTTCCTGACGGTTCATTCCAAAAACCATATCCAAGTAACATGCATTAGTTAACACTGATGCAGAGATCATAGTTAAAATTTCCAGTCGAGAGGTCTCTAATACAGTTTTATATCAACAACTGCTTCAAGAAAAAAAAAAAAACAAACCCCCCCCTTTTTCTAATTTGTATTTCTCTATAAAAGAAACCTACTTTTTTTTTACAATAACAGAACACCTGTTATCACTGTTGGCAATACAAGACAAAAGAACATTTTTATGCTGGCATTTCTCTGGAAATTCAAGTGTAATTTGTTACTGTAAAGCTTCACAGCACAACTGCTGTCTGGAGCCTTAGAGAAGAGCCTGTGTTGTTCCTGAGGTAATAACATTTTCTCAGGAAGTTGATAAGGGAGTGGTGAGGGATTGCATGGATGAGTAGCTGTCCATCATGAATGAAGAACATAAGAAAGAATTCTGTAACTTAATCTATTTGGTACAGCAAGTGGGATTATAAATCCCCGTTCTCTACAAACCAGTGGAAACAGCACTGACGGCCACTGAAGCCTGCAATGTGTGCTGCTTAACAAAAGCCTTAAATCAAGCACTGACTCAAAATCCTCACAATCGAGCACCATGCTGGGTGCACGGCTGTGCTCGTGGGCAGCAGAGAGGCAGAGGTGGCCCTTGGGGCACACATTCCTGGGGACAGCGGCAGGTGACTCACCGAAGGTGGCCGTGGGTAAGTGTCGTACGGGGGCGGGGGGCTGTCCTGCTTCGGTGTTGATGGAGTGTCAGCTTCCTCCTTGTCACTCTCGCTCCAGTAATCTGCAAGTTACACAAGGAGCCGGTCAAAAACCACCAACACATTCCCATGCATTTTTGTGTAAGAGACTCGCTGTCACAAAAGCAACTGCAAACTCCTCCTTTGGTATTTCTGGCAGTGAAACACCAGAATGCTGATGCTGTCAGTGTTAGCTGCTGCAACCTGGAATTGGCTTAATCTAAAGAGGGAAAATTCCAAACATTATGGGGTATACTAAACCTAATGTCCCATTACAGAGCTATTGGACAACAAACTGAAAATGAGTGACAAATTTAACTCTTGTGCACATCTTATAAATGCAACAGGCATATAGAATAGTCATAATACAAGTATCAGATTTTCAAATATTAATACAGCCACAAAAATAATTATGATTGGACATGTATTGGCTTAAAAATACTGAAATATTTTTTAAATAGAAATGATTAAAAATATAGCTTTGCTAAAGTCTTGTTGACTGCAAATAACATCAACAAATATATTTACCCAACTGGCAAATCAAACAGGTAGGGGTTATTGCACACATGCATACCAGTGCTCCTTTTCTATCCATTTTCTCCATTATATTCAACAAGTTAGACATGTTTTTCAATTCAATTTCTAATAACAAACAGCTGTATTTAGGACAAGATGGAAAAACTTTATACCACATATCTGCTTCATAAAACTGCTGCTGCCCTGTTATCCATGCAAGAACATAAAGGTGATATGGTAAGGAAAAATATGACAATGACATTTAAGAACAGAGTTCAAAAAGAAGGATGAGAAAGTATAAAGGACACATATTTTGTGGGGTAAGTTTAATAGGCTACAACGTTTCATTTTTTCAGAAAATCAAGTCTTGGTCAAGCTTATTCCAAAGGGAAAAACACATAGAAGAATATACCAAATGGTAATTTATATTTATTCTGTTATAAATATTTTTAGAAGCAAACCAGCATCTAACTTAAAGGACACTGAACCTTTATCTTCCCTGCAAAAAACCATACTTAACTGCTGACTCAGTTCAAGACAGACAACTCTTAACATTTTTTCACTTTGTAAGACTTATGCAAACATTTCTGCTGTCACTTTGTTTCTGACTGTATTACCTTCCAGTATTTGGGTAAATCATTGTACAACAGGACACCAGAGCTCAGATTACTCACAGATCAATCACAGGCAATTTTCATTTCACCTCAAGTGTTCAACAAAGTGCACCATTTACTACTCTCTCTTTAATAGACAAGGAAAAAAGATTGGTTGCTGTTTCACAAATCATCTAAACTAAAAATCCGAGCTAGCTTAACATGTAAGTTTGTCTTTAATGATTTTTTATTATGATTACTGTATTATATGGAAAATGATCTACTATATTTAATCTCATTCAAGAATTAAAACATAAACTCACCTTTAAATTATACCATCTTGAAACAGGAATCTCTATAGTTTGGTATTTTTTTAGATTTTAGTATTGGTGTGGACAGCCTTATTTATTGATTTAATTTTTCCACATAATAGCAATTCTGTTTTTACTCCAAGCCTTTTGATTTGCTTCCTGCAAGCTTATAGCTGAGACATTCTCTTTAAACAGTATAATAAATAAGTTGCATAAATAAAGATTTTATGACTACAAAATAAAAACAAATCCTAACAGTTATGTCCGTAGACATCTGCAAATAATTAATTTCCGGTGAATGGAAGACTACATCAGTGAAAAACCTTTTTCTAAATAAATCCCAGTTTTAAGAAAACTAGTTTCCAGCAACTTAAAATACTTGAAAATACTGGCATGTAGGCATGTTTGTTCCTATTGCAGCAAAGCCGAATGGTGCGATGTGTGGTGAGAGACCTGTCAGAACTGCCTTGTTCAGTGACATTTCTGCAGGCTTGGAGCTCAACTGTTTATTCTGAAAGCAAAATTCAGCAGTCTCAGTGCAGGCTCCAATTTTGGCTAAAAATACGAAGGTGTTCTTGCTGTCAAATCCACATACAAGTAAACACTGTACGATGATGCTTTTGCACACCTTATCTCAGACAGTGAATTCTGTTGGCAGACTATGGCTTGTCTTGAAAATTTCTGCAGTAACGGGGGTCAATTTTCAGATGAAATGTATTAAAATGGCCTCCCACCAATTTTATAAATGCTCTGCTTTTGGCAACTGACTCATTAGAGTCCATAGAAAACATGCACGATGCTATGAAACAGTTTCTGTATTTCTCTCTGTAGATTTGTCCAATTCAGTGATAGACAAGCTCTATGCATCAGGCATGAAAGTTTTCTCAATGGCTAATAGACTTTGTATTATATATAAACCAACACTGACCTGCCATTTCCTGAATAAATATACTCTATTTATATAAACTAGGGATTTTTTCTCTCTGATTTATATGACTGGTAAGTATATAATTCTCCATCCAAGGAAGTCCTTTGATGTATTGCTAACATGCATTGTATTTCATATGAAAAGTTGAAGGTATTTTTATAAAACTATTCTGTACAGAATGTAACATTTTATTCAGCAGTACACCCACATTTTGGTGATTCGTGCATCTCTGAAGCTCTTGAAATATATTTATGCACTTTAGATTCAGAACCATTCAACTTTTAATTGAGACAGATTTGACAAGTCCTGTTGAATTGTTTCAGAGGTATTATAAAGCTTTGCTGCAAAGGGCTGAACCACACAGAAATAAAAGACCTTTTCTCAAATCAAATATGCAGATGACAATTGGTAGTCACTGAGTAGAGAAAATTCCAGCTTCACAGTTTCTGTAATTGCAAAAATGCTTGAAGTGATAGAGAGGTTTTACCTTGCTAACTTGATGCCTCTGCTAATTAGGGACACTACTGAGCTGTGTAACAGCCCTTGTGCTGGGAGCCAAGGAAAATCACCAGAGATATTAAAACTGTACAGCAGCGAGGGGGGAATGCAATACTGCCTCCCACACTAAGCAACACCAAGAGGGTAAGGTTCTATCCACCTGCCTATAACAAATCAACATGAGTGAATGGTGAGAGTGGTAATAAAGAACTCTCCCAGTGCCTGGGATACAATATGCACAGTCAGTGGGGTTTCACTGATTATTTTCAATAGGAAGACATTTCAATAATAAGCTACATGAGGCCTGAATGCACATCATCTCATGTCTAGCTGCATCATCTGCTATTTTATTACTCAGTGATTTCTTAGTAGCAAAAATATTTCTCCACGTCCATCTGGATTTTGAAAGGTGTATCATGGGTGTAATTGTGCACTTGGACAGCATTAGCATAACATACACCTTTTCACATACTGTCCCACATGGCACTGTAATTCTAGTGCCAACCTACTGTCAATAAAAATTGTAATTTGGCTTTGAATGCTAAAATAGAGGATTTCCTCGAAGACTCTGAGATTCAGAGTTGGTTCACAGCCTCTTCAAGCAGTGACAACAGATGGTACACAGGTTCTTTCAAACAGGTTACTGTAACACTGAGTAGGAAATACGGATTCCCAAACTGATTTCTAGGTCTGGTGAAGCACATGACTAAAGAACAGTGAGCATGGTGCTGCTACCCTGGGCTGTGTGAATGCAGAGGGCCTGGTATAAAAAAACGACATGAGTTTTTTGGGAAAAAACCTAAAATTTTTCTGATGAAGGTTTCAGAGACACAGAATTAAAAACGGAGGTTTTGACTGAGTGGGAAGCAGGGAGACAGGCATCTGGATAAGCTCTGGATCATCACAACCATGGCAATTTTCTGGTGCCTGCTGCTGGGTACATATGTTAAAAAGAGCATGAATTCAAAAGCTATCTCCTTGCCAAAGCAGATACTTGGATAGGAACCCTTCTGTGCATCCATATCTTTGGCAGTTCTAAGAAACAACCTCCAAAACGCAATTGGACTGACCCTTTCTTTTTTCTGTCTGCAACAGTTCAAAGCAAAGCAATGCATTATTTCATATATGCTACTTTTTTAACTCATGAAATATATATCAGGCATAAAAAATAAACATGTAAAATGCTGTAACCCTACAATTCCAAGTGAAATGCCAACAGGGCTGTAGCAAACACTGCAATATAGTAAAACCAGTAGAAATCACAAAATTTAAGTGGCCTTAAAATTAAAGTCCTTAGAGTAAATCCAATTATCTCAAGAGGCTTTAGAAAAATGGTTTTGTTTCCAAGACCAATTTCATGCACTCCTGTCCTCTGTGAATTCAAACACCAAATGCAGTGTTTGAAATATTTTTTTTAGCCTCCAGATTCTTAAGTTTCTTCTGATAAGGGACACAGATTCCTTGGTGCCACACAGTGAAGCTTACTGGTATATCTGCTTTTTTAGCTATCTTTTACAGCCTTCTCAGAAATAATCCAGTGTTTGCAGATCAGAGTCTGAAGGAGTTAATCAGAACTCCTGACAGAGAAGGAATTCTCTGAAGCAATAACAGCGATACCCATATGTGATTTGCTTTCAGATGATGAGAATGAGGCCTGATACACAGCAGGGAAAAGAAAAGAGATGAACTTGTGATAAGAGCTGACAGAAGAAACCAAAATAACAACACATTACCTTGCTCTTGTTTGATCCTCTCTCTTTCTGCATAGCCAGCAGCAAGCATGTTAATTCTGTTGAGCCATCTGAAATAATATTAAAAAAAAAAAACAGTGATACCCATCCAGCCTCTGAATTTTTGCATGCATTTCTAGCAAAAACAAAGCGAGAACCATCTGAAGGAGATTAGGACAATGTTATTTTTCATATCAGACAGCTGTTCTCTTTGATACTCTTATTCAGGGAGTCTCCAAAGATCTATGATTTTGCTGTTGAACAAACTGTTTTCACAGCAAGGATTTTATTTCAAATGGAAAACCATGTATGATGTCAAACATCCAAACATCTGTAAAATAAAGGATTTAGAGATAATCAAAGAGCTGTTAAGTCTGCTGCTCACAGATATGCCATCACAAAAATATTCCTGCTGTTCTGATTTCTTAAGAATAAATACCACTTTTCACAGATTTAAGCAATATTTTAAGGCCTGAATTGGCAACTTAGCAGAGGAACAGAGCAGAAAACAGCAGTAAAAAGAACAGGTTCACTCTCAAGACAGACATTGTGGTTTAATTATGCCATTATGTTTTAGAGCTTACCTACAGTGCCATGTACAAAGAGAAGGAGGCATAACAGAATTCACTTTTGTGTTTGTGTCAGAGAAGTGCAGGGAGAAAGACAGTTGCTTCAATGCTATTCACATCTAAGGCTTTAATCTCAATTTAGCCTTGAAAAAACGCTTCCATAAACTGCACAAATTAAAAAGAAAACAACCCAAACAAAACCATACAAAAACCCCCAGCACCCAAACACAAAAAAAACCCCGAAAACCCAAACCAAAAAGCAAATGAGCTATTGCTGCTCTCCTCTAGTAGGGCTGTCATTGCCAAGCATACACTGAACTGACTGCAGCAGGGCAGTTTCAACCTGTGCTCTTCCCCCACGGGGCTCAGTGTATTCATTAGCCAAATGCTTACACTGAAGCAGGTCCTCCATCAACGAGGCTTTAAACCACCACGGCAATCTCCCGTGTTGTCCATTCCATGGTAAACCTGGAATTACTTGCTCCAGTCATCCCATAGTCAGGATTTGACAGGCCTGGTTTGCCAACCTACTGGCTTGCAATTTAACTGCTAGGGTATACAGAAAGACAACTCCAGTCAGGTTTGCGTTTTCTTCAGGAATGGGAAACCCCCGTTTCAGAAACCTGTGCCTGATGGGTTTTGTTTGCATACTGCATGCACAGAAACAGGATGTTTGTCTCAGCAGAGGACACACCTTTGTAATGACTCCTGCATGCCTGTCTACAAGACACTGCAGTGCAGGGCAAGCATCAGATCATAAAATACTGTTTCTTTCCTAGAAATTAACTCCTGTCACCATGGAGTCAGAGAACTATAGAATACATTAGGCTGGAAGGATCTTCACAATCTTCTAGTTACAAATTCCCCTGGCACGGGCAGGGACATTTCCCACTGCAACTTCCTTCCATGAACAGCAACCACATTTTTGATCTGTAAACCATGTTTTTAAATCATTGTACATGGAAGAAAGCTAGAGATTTAGTCCTAAAATGACTGCAGAATACTTCATGTTACCACACAATCTAAATTTCTGCCGGAAGAATAGGGAAGCTGAAGAAGACACTTAAAATTTGATTTGTAATTGTTAGGAAGTGTCATACAGTTGTAAAAACAAGCAGCACAAAGGAACAGAAATCCAACAAACCTCATCTCAGACAATGATTTTACATCTTCAAAGCCAAAAAGATGACCGACTACAAAGCTATCTTTTAGGCTCACATTCTTGATATGTGAAGACCTCCTTTGGGGAACAAAGCTCAGCTGCCAACTGAGCCAGCTCAGACCAGAGGCACAGAGGCAGGGTCCTCACCCAAAGCACTCCAGCCCCGTGCTGCAGAGGGACCAGCAAAGGCCACAGACCTGTCTGTGTCAGAAGGGCTCAGCAGCACAAGATGACAAGCATCTGCTCTGTCAAATGGCATGGCAGACAGTGGGAATGCTACTTTGCTTGCCTCTCACCTATTCAGGATTTCATGTTCCCAGTTCAACTCCTGGCTTAGCACCCTCACCTGCACTGCCAGTAGGGAACAGCCACCTATGAACCCCATTGAGTAGGGCTGATGACCACAAAGCATTAGACAACACAGCTATAAAGGTTCTCCTGTCCTTCATTCTGTCCTAAACATGAGACAGCATTTCCTGGTAAGTGTGTTTATTAGTGAGGTAACCAATTAAATTAATGAACACTTAACTGACAGTCAACTGATGCTGCTTACAGATGCAGACAGATGACTGTTTCCAGAAAAATACAATCTAATGAGAGCCCAGGAAATGTGTACCATTCTCCCACTCTTGAGAGAGAGAGAGAGCAGACTGACTTCACCTTTATGAATTTCTGCAGGTCATGATCTGTGTTGAGGTTTGGACTATGATTGTAGTGCCTGTGGGTACTGATGTGGTTGTAAACTGTGAACAACCACAGCTTTTGAGTTTGCCAGTCTGGAAACTAATGGAATGGTATTGACTTCTGCATATTTTCTGATATGTGGCTGTTAAAGCTTCTTCAGATTTGGCTAGAGAATTAATATTACTTTACTAAAGCATGGCCAGAATTCCAGATCATTGAAGTTAGAATTGTATGAGAAATCCAACATGCTGGACTTATATCAGCAGAGAAATGTAAAGATCTGCAGAATGGAAGAGGAGTAATACATGCCTGGGTTACAATGCACTGGGGACAAAAGTTCCAATCATACAGCTACACAAATATTTCTTAATATGTATATTAATAGATACAAAGCCCTAGGACATGGGAAGATTTCTATCTTTCTTCCCTTCAGTGTGTGTGTCCTGGCAGGCACTGTAACCTTTGGAGGGCAACAGGCCAAGAAAATATTGCTTCTTTACTGCAAATGCAGCTTCAGTTTTCTTTTGAGAATTGTAAGATCTGTTTTCTAGGTATGACAATAAATACAGTGTCACTGCAGTAGTCATTCAGGTTTCCTTTTTTTTCTTTCTTTTTAAGAACAGCACACTCATTTCTTGTCAGTATTTAATTAAAACAGTTTTATGACACATAGAACAGGATTAAAACCCCCTGACTTTCTGCAGACCTGCAATTTCTGTAAGGAAGGATTCACAGTACTCTCACAGACAAGTAGGAAACATTTCTCTATCTTATCTCACATTCAAGTAGATGCAATACTTTTAGTCAAAGCAGGGTGTCAAATTTTCATTTATCATAGAACTCAAGGCTGTAGGATGAACCTGCTGTATGGGAATATGGATACCTTAAAGTGTCTGTGAGTACCTGAAAGCAGTTCAACCAGAGTGAAGGGAATAAAAATGAATTTCCAAGCAGCAAATTTCCATGACCATATCATACACTTAACACTAGAAAATAGTACTTTGCATCTATAAAGGACAGTCTGTCCTCCTTCTCACATGGAAAAAGCATGCTAATAGGTAAAAAGAACATTTTGCTGGCATGACCATATGGACTAAAACAGACACCACAGCAATAAAGTTCAGTGATTATAGCTCTCCAGACTCCTTACCAGCATGATGGTGTGGCACAGTCATAAAAGTAGTAAGAAAATTTAAACAGTGACAGTTACCTGAGATTAAAATACCCATTTTATGTGAGTAGATACACACAAACAAAAACTCCATAGATGGCAATTTTTTAAAAAATATAAACTATAGATTCATTTTATACAAGGGATGAAAGTATTGAACCATTTTGTACTTTCAGTCATTCTATGTACTAGCAGTTTTCTATTGTTGTTTCTTATGCTTCAAGTATAAACAAAACCGAAATGACTGCCTGATACAAAACTAGAATCTATGTCAGAAGCTTAACAAAAAAAAAATTTAAATTATCAAAAGAGTATTAATTTAACTGCATAATTTCACTGTGTTTTACTTCATCGAGATGTCGAAATACTTTAACACAGGAAGTATTTTATTATCCCTGCATTTGAAAGACTTTTTTCAGTCACTTTTTTCCAGTCTATTGAGTTAATTGATATTTGTGAAAGTGAACTAATTTTTCTAAAACATTAAACAAAGAGAAAAAATAAAATTCTTGAGTGCAATTCTGATGGCAACTCAAATGTAAGAGTTTCAAGTAATTCCATAGACCTTGACAGAGTTTGAATTTACATGTGTATAATTCAGATCAAAATTCTGTCAAGCTCATTCTAAAGGAGTTAATAACACTAATTTCAAAATATGATAAAAAGACTATCTGAGGTGGGAAGATAAAAATATTTTAATTCTTGGGTTTTACACTGCACAATATATTTTAAAATATTGCTGCATATTTGCTTTCTCATTACTCAACAAATACCGAAATTTCTATCCTTAAAAAGAGGGTGCCTTGTTATACTGAGTGAGGATCTGCTGACAGAAATTATTTAGCTACTGCTTTTGTTCAGGGCATGTTGTATACAGACCATGCCAATTCTCTTTGCTGTGCAGCAAACTGTATTTTGAGTACTGGCTTGACAGAATTATCAAGGAAAGGCAAGCCTAAAATTTCGCAAACAAATAAAAAGCTTTCAAGTTCTCTAACTGAGAAAAGACTTCTGAAGTGAGCCTCAGTCATGCACACTTTTGAAAAAATGTTATCAGACAGCTATTTCTAAATGAAGGTAAGGACAGTATAGTGCTCACTTATTTGGCTTTTTCAACCAAATATTATCAGTAATGAACTGGCAGTACCCCGAAGGTGCTCTGCCAGGTAGTTGAATCTAGTACACACAGGAGAGATTAAACCATGATTATAGGACTTACTAAGTTTTATTGATTCAGTTTTAGCTCCTTTTTCCTCTGCATTAAAAGAACTCTGGTCAGCGAGGATATCAACAGACATTATCTAAGATACAACAATTCTCATGTTGCAATAACAGATTTTTGTTTGTGTCCTCTGTCATTTGATGAAAATGGCATATTATTTTGAACTGAATTAATTTCAGTTTATATTGTGAAAATAAATGAAATAACCCCCCTAATATTTGAATAAACATGGGATTCATGTTCTAATTGACCATTCAAATGAATTAAGAGGAATTGTGTTTATTTTGTGCTGAAGTCTCCATCATTTTTCTAAAAATTGCACAAGTGGCCAAGAATAGATCCAGTAAAATTCAATACTCAAAGAAGTAAGACTTAGGTCCTTGTTCTTTTTTGAAGTGCTGAAATTTTCATTATCAAATCTAATACAACCAAAATTTCACTTCAAAATTCATGGAAATAGAGAGAATCTGCAAAATTCATTACTTGTAAACCCCACTCCTTTTTCAAGACTGGCATAATAAAACAGTGACTGCTTTAAATCTTTCTCCAACTTCCTATTCCCTCCAGGGCATGAAGGACTCCCAGAGGAAGCATCACATGTGTTTGGGAGTATGTAAGGAAGCAGAGTTGGAGATCTCTCACCTTTGCAGGTGCCATACAGCCAATTCCAGAAACTTGGAATTCTGAAATTGTGTTTGGATGTTGTTTCACATACTGTATTTCTTTTTTTTTTAGAAACATGGAATCATGTTTTGAAAGATTTCAAACCTTTGTATCAAAAAAGAGGTAATGAATTGAATAATTAACATATGAAGCCAGTCAGAAACAATGTTACTCTGCACCTCTTTTCTCACCAATTAAACGTATCGTTTTAGACTGACAAGTAATTTATTATACCTGTGTTATCAGTAGCTTCAAGAAGTGTCACATTTAAGGAATGGGTCCTTGAACTTTGCTAGATTTCCTTACCTGTTCATATCATCTAGATGTTCAGCAGCAAAATAAAAACTTTTGATCTTAGGATGGCAGGCTTTGAATGCACTGTAGAGGAAAAACATAATTAAGAAATGTAATGGCACAACTAATTTTTTTTTTCTGAAACGTAAGATCACATGGTCACCAAGGAATGAGATGAATTCACATTTCTGATTTGCTGCATGCCCCCAGGCAGTATATGAACATACAACTTTTAGGATTGTGCCAGGTTTCACCAAGTACTCTTCAACTACCCTTCTAAATAATCCTTGATTAATATATGCATAAATAATTGTTCAACCATCACCTGCAGTGTACTGTATGTGAACAAAGTTCATCAGTTAAGGATAAAATTTTATGTATCAGGTAATTTTGCTGATATGCATACAGCTGTCAATATTTTCTGAACAGAAAACTGACTAAACAATTCATTCAATACAACAGCACAATTCTCAATCCTTTGTGATTTCTCATGTCCCAGTGACTTTGACATTACCTTTAGCTCTAATGACTGCATTTCAAGCAGGAAAATGTGATGTGCTGATTGACTTCTGAAAAGCTGTCATAAATCAACAGTGTGTTCATGAGGTCCTAAGCAATGGGCAATTACATTTTTCCTTTTTTCATTTTTCCTTTACACCAAAGTAATCAACATGACTGGGCTGAGGGAATTACTGCATTTCATACATAACATGAAATCAATTACTAGAAAGAATCTTTTAACTATGTTGGATAAAGATTTATGGTGAAGTACCTGAAGACCTAGCAAATGCATTTAAAATAATGAATAATTTACAGTAGAGAAGAATAATTTTGAGAATAATCTAAAGGTTCTCTTAAGAACAAAAAATGTAACAGTCTCAAAGAAAATAAGGAAAACTGCAAACATGGTACATCACAAGCATCATCACCATTTTTCAGAGACATAATGGGTTTTATATATGTATATATATATATATACACATGCACACACACACGTATATATAATGTAATATAATAGTTCTCACTCTCTAATCAACTGTGTCTCAAAAAAAATGGCAATGACGTTCTTCATGCTTACCATGCTTGCAATTCTCAATATATGTGTCTGTGTGCACACAGATGTGCACACACCTATGTTTTAGAAATCAGGCAAATGAAATTGATAACAGGAAAGTTACTGCCAGGGAAGGCAACATAACATTGAGACTAAACAGATTCCTCTAACACATGACAGCACTACAGTGTTATGCAAGTCAAAGCAGATGTAGAGACATCTGCTCAGTTTAGAAAGACATCATCAAGTTACTGAGACCTAAAACTGGACTTCTTAAAACTGTTACAGCATCTGTCATCTGGATTCTTAGAGGGTTTTTTCCCTTTATCTGCCGCTCAAGCAAAGAATCTTAATAACCACATTTTATGTGCTGCTATTCAGTAGACACTAAATCAAGTAAAACCAAACCAAAACAATTTAAGCAGGGTGCAATTCTGAAAAATGAGCTGACTTTATGCTGCTGCCCCAATAAAAAAGAAACAATTAAGAACTTTAGCCATGTGGCCCAAGGACACAGGACAACAGGCTCAAGCTAATGTATATATGTATATTTTTTAAATACAAGTTTAATCTTCTGCCCTTTGAGACCACCTTGAAGTGTAGAGTTCATCCTAAGGAGAGATATAGATCAACTGATACGAGCTTGGTGCTTTCTGTAGAGCTGTAGGTACTACAAATCATACCATCTTGCATTTGAAAATGTTTTGCACAAATTTCAGCAATTCCAGTCCTGTTTAAAAAACTGCACAAATCATTAGAAGGCGAGGCAAAAAATTTTGAACGATAATGACTTTAAAAATATCTCTGTGGGAGCATGCACCTGTCACATTGCTCTGTAAGCTTGAATTTATCTAAATAATAAATGGATTTGTGCAATGGCACAAATCTGGATAGCAGCATAAACAGGTGAGAAGAAACGTTCTTTGAGACCTTTAGGTCATGTAACAAAAATACAACAAATCGCTGTCATTCTTTTTTTTTTTACTCTGCTTCACGACTGAAATAATACCTTAGCAAACTTTGAGATGATGCTAACCAATTTGGAGTTACATTAAATATTGATGCCTGGCCATGAACGTGAGGACTTTCTTATTTGGATGGTCTCTGTATAATGCTCAAAGCTCTTTATTGAGTATAAAGCACACAAACACACTCCAAGCCCCAACAAACATATAAAAAAAAAATAGCAACCCCAAACAAAAAGGAAAAAAAAAGAAAGAAAAACTAGGAAAATAAAGGGACAGAAGCAGCCAAGCAGTCTTTTTGCTCATAATTCATTTTGGTCTAGTCAAGTACTGTGTTTCATGGTGAAATGAAAAAATAGCCTTCTTTGGGCACATGCAACACAAAAAATTAATTTTCTTTTCTCGTATAAGCTTATTCTGTGACACAACCTCATGACAATTGTAACAAAGCCCATTATCTCCCTCTTTTAAGGGAAAACTTTGTCCTTTGTTTGCACTTTATTTATTGTACCATTGCATTATTTTTAAGCATGCTTACTATTTCTTGCGGCATTCACTGGCTCTGTCAATTTTAAATTCAGGTAGACTGATGAATCCTTCTGCTTTTTCATCCTGCAAAGATAGTTCCAGATATTACTGTAGCTAAAGTGTCAGGAAAAAAAACCCACCATGCTGAAAACTTACAAATATTTTCACTTGCCTGCGTCTTACAAAAGGAATACTAATGTCTGCTCTGCTCTGGCAAACCTCCCACAGAAGTCACTGAGACTTTTGCAGAAGTGGCAAGACAGATCCCTTGGTGAAAAATACGATTTTAAATACCCAGTTTTCTGAAACAATTTCACAGCTGAACCAACATTTGAAAATATACAAAATGACCAAATGTATTGAGTCAATTAGTTATTGTAATTAGTTAATTTTTGGGGGAAATGGACTAATTAGTAAGGAGAAATGCAGCCTAGTGGAAGAAACAGAGGAAAAAAAGCAATTTCAATGGCTGTTGTTTATCATTTTTATGTATCACAGCTAACATGCATGATATCTTTTCAGCTACTTTCATCTCTCTACAACACTCAGAAGATATCTGACCTTCCTACCGCCCTCTCCTCTGAAGATTCACAGTTTTTTTTTTATCAGCTATGCAATCTCCCTTGACTTTTCACAGTTTGAAAGCATTATTTATATTAAGCTACTATTACATCAATAACACAGACTCCCTCATTTTAACTGTTCGTAACTTTGCATGCAAAATTAATACAGGATCATAGAAATTAAGCTGGAAACACATACAAATGCATGTGAAGGAATTCCACGAATATACATATTTTCCTCAGAGTTTAAATGGTTATTTACACCACATATGCAGTCCATATGCCTTCTTAAAAAGAAGTAAAAGGCACAAATCAGCATATAAAACTGGAGCCGTTATGTGGAAGGTACACGGTTGTAAGTGGTTCTGCATTAGCAGGTATTTTAAAACCAAAGAGACAGTGTTTAGAATAATCTAGCTATTTCTTTTTTGAATGGATGCCTAGAGAAACAGAATTTTGGCAAAAGCAGCGTTGGCTTGTCTGTGCACCTGCCACTGAGTCACCCCCTACCAGCCTTTGAGTCCACTGGTGATGACAGACACTGTGCTGAGGGAGCTGAGGTCTCAAAAATAACCAGAACTCAGAAAATCTTGGGGAAACTTGGGACAGGGGGAGATGGAGGTGCTGAGAGCACTGCCCTCCCCACGGGGAAGGACGGCACAACTCAGAGGTTCCAGCTGCTCCTCGGACCCGGCTGCTCACCACTACCTGCACTTGTAGGCATCAATTACTACCCTGATGAAAACCTTGTGGCAGCCAAGGGAGGCAGAATGGAGAGGAGGGAGTCATCAGGGTTACTGATCTGAAGCTGAGATCAAGGCACAAATGGAATGAGTCTGAGAAAACAGGCTTAGAGAACTCCGGCCATGGAACAACTTGCTTTCTGTTTACTCAGGGAGAATTTGGGGATTACTTTGCAAAGGTACAAATGCTTGCTGTGATTAAAAGAACAAGTCCAGGGCACAGTGCATGCAGATGTTAACAATGGTTTTATCTCAGCATACTTACTAATCAGTCTAACAGGATTAAAAATCAAGGTATCCTAACATGGCAAAAAGCTTTGCAGCTAAAGCTGATATAATAAATGTGTACCAATGCAGAAAATATTGCATAATCAAAGCTGTACACAATTCAGCTGGGATGCTCCTGTAGTTTTATGTTCAGCATATATGAGCACTGAAATCATACCAAAAACTACAAAGAAGAAACAACAGGAGAACAGAACTGAGAAAACAGAGCCATCTTCCTTAATTGCTTAGCAGAGATAAACAAGGAACACCAGGCAGCACAACATTAAAGTTTACACTTCCATGACTAAGCTTGAATGACAGGATTAAGTAATTACCTTTTCGCTTTCAAGGGTTCAAGGATAAATTTATTCTAAATCGGTGTCATGAGGACACAGAAAACTGTGTTATTTCTCCATGTAGTAAAAGGTGCATTGGAAGGAACAAATATCTCAAAACCCTCATGGTATTTTTTTCAGGCATTTAATATTAATTTCGTTATGATTATTTGGGTGAATAAGGTCATTAGCATATATAAGCACTGAAAGCATTGTTATCCCTCTAGATCAAGACTACAGCACTACACAAAGTATTCATTGAGACCGTGAGTACAGATGTTTACCTCTTCATTGATATACCAATACAGAGATGTGTCCTTCAGGACAAACCAGTACTTTTTCCATTTTTGGGAGAAATAACTCTTGGCATCTTTCTTTTTCCAAAGCCAGCCTTCACAGTCCCCTCGACCAAGATCTTTACATGAGATTCGTCTTTTGCTTTTACCAGGAATAGGAGCTGAAAATGACAATGAGGTGATGTGAAAGCATTTGATTTGTCCATTAAATCAACAAGATACCTAGTCAGAAAGCACTATATATCTGTTTAAGAAAATGAATTGAAAATTTCAACCTCAAATTGCCATGAAAACTATTACAAGCATTCTATTTTGACCACAAAGCAAAGCTTATGCACACCACCATAAGTTAAAAGCCAAAGCAAATCAAACCAAACCACATTCAGCATCTCATAGCTCATATTCTATGGATAAGACCAAAAAAAAAAAAAAAAAAGGCAACACAGAAAGGGAAGACAGAAGAAAGGCAAGATATTTAAAAATAAGAAAAATGATTATTTGTAATTTTCAACAGATTGATATTCCACATTAGAATAAAGCGCACAACATATAAATTCATGTACTTCCCACTTGGTTACCATGTACAACTATTTAAGTACTTTACAGGTGTTCACAAACCTCTCTTTGCAGCTCTTTTTGAAATTAAACAGTCCCTAAGGCCTTTGTACTTCAAAATCAAAGGAGGAAAATTTACTGTGATATAAATTACCTGAGAGCGTAGGTAATGAGCAAGTGCTGCAGTGAGGCATTACCTGAACACAGCTGGAAAAACCAACCCTGGCCCCAAAGAGGCTAGAGTCTAAGTATTCAAAAAAAAAGATAAAAGCAGATACATGAAGGTAGAGGAGCATTAGGAAACTATGAGACATCAGTAATGGACTAATACATTCTCAACATGATCAACTGAACTGAACATTTTATTGGAGCTAACAAGTTAGAGCTCCTCACATACTGCAATACAGTAGAAGTAATCTTGGCAATTCCCTTCCTACCCATATATAAGAATAAATTTATTTTTTACCTTTGTTCTTCTTTTTACTTTTCTGCTGTAGAGAAGACTGCTGAAATGTCTACAAGAAAATCAAAATGGAAGAAGTAAATATACAATGTTTATATTTAACCACATACTTCTAATAAAAGAAATGTTACGTGAAGTCATATCAGGTAACACCAGAGAGACTTGCAGGCCTAAGAAAATGGTAATTTTAGTTCACCTGTCCATAGGATTGTACAGCAAAAGCACACGGTGAAATATCTCAAAACAAATCACCAGTTAGGCTGCCAAACCAACTGTAGTTTCTGTCCAAAATGGTCACTCTCCTCTTGTTCTCTTGTTTCTCTCTCTGTTTACTATGATAATGAAGCTACACAGCCCATGTATTTCTAATTTATACACTAAATCAAATATTCTTGACATCTATATGTAATTATGCAAAATAACACTCAGAACCAGGCCTAGTATTCTCAAAGACACCAGTAAAGTCTACTAAATCACAACTGGGGAGAGGTCTCCCAAATAAAAGGTCTGAACTAGTTGACCTAGTCTGAACCTTTTCACCAGGTTTTAAGTGGAAATATTTCTCTCCAGCTGATCCATTCCCACAAATTAACCAACTACCTTGACAATGACACAGGATGGAAATGGCTCCTTTATTTAAGATCTTAGCTTATTAATAATATCAATACATACCAACACATTTAATAACTATTTCTGTTTAAAAACTTGGACTCTGATAAGCACAATCCCCAGTGCACTAAAAAAAATAATTCTGTAATTAATCAGCCAAAATTTAAAGATGAGATTTCACCTGTTTTGAATTTTAGTTTTCTAGGAGGGCAGACAAATGTATCACTGTTAAAACTAAGAAAATGCTACATTAGAATGTCTGAGTAGTAAAACTTCCTATTTCAGTTTGCCAGGAATCAATACAGAAATCTATACTTTTGTACTACTTGGTAAAAATAAATCTAAGCAAAAGCACTGACAGCTCTGCAATCCCAAACCCCATTCCTAGCAGGTAAGACAAACCCTCAGCCTACTTTACAAGACTGGGTTCAATCCAAAGAGCAGCTTTGGTTTTGCACATGGCACTTAGTGCTGTGGCTTAATTGACATTATATTGTTTGGTCAAATGTTGGACTCAATAATCTTGGAGTTCTTTTCCAACCTTAACGACTCCATTCTAATTTCCTCCCCCTTGCTTCCCACACCCATGAGCTCACGTGCAGCAGACTCAGCTTCAAAGGGATCTCATGTCTCACAGCTGAGAGATTTTCATGCAGCAAAAACCAACATGTCCATGGGGAAAAATTACCAGCAAGACAATAATTAAGTGTAATTAAAAAATTTAACTGACTTGCTAGATGTGCTGATCCCTCAGAGACCATATCTGACAAAAACTACTCCACTCTGTTGCTACCTCCAAGGGTCAAAGTAAACCTCCCCTGGGAAGTAAAAAAGGATCCCACTCATTTTCAATCCCTGGCTCTTGTCCTTTTTCTTCTGCTGCTGGTACCAACTAAATTAGCACCAGCTCTCAACAAACCAAGACAGCAACACCATCCCAGTTACATCACACGAAATACTTCAACCTGCAAAGGACTAAACGAGATCTTAATGACCCAGGAGTGGCTGAGCAGAAGTGTGTAAATAACTCCCTCTGTAAATCCTACTTAATTCAAAGTGGATGAAAAAATACACACACATACACAATACACATCCAAAATTTTAGCACTTCTCAGTTCACAACTCAGACAATTTCATTTTGCTGTTTGACTTTTCTGCACTATTATTTTCAGAGTGTCAAAACAGAAAAGGAAAATCTCTGCTCCATTTTCTCCCAAGTGATTCTGAGAGCAGGTGAGAACAATATGAAAAGCCTTCTCTTTAGATGTTTTGTCCATAAATTGAACCTGCAAACCTCAGTTCACACCTCTTAACTTCTGAGTCAGTTTTTTGGAAGAAAGGGTAATGAAAGGGTATCAGTTTTGAACAGGAAGAAAGCATGTAATTTACATGTCTAACCATTTTTCCATATATTACATTATATTGAAAAATAGAAAGGTTTTATTAAATTCAGCTATTATTCTAAATTAGCTCATTGAATTAAATCATAATTAAGGGCAAATTCTACAACTGAGTGAAGTTCCTGGGACCTATTTCAACTGCAATGATTTTAACTAACACTTTAGATTATTTTACATAGACTTCAGGCTTCAAGTTAGCTGACCCTTTGCAAAAAAAAGCAGCATCTTTTTTCTTAACTCAGAAAATGTATATGTAACATAAAATATGTAATTAGAAAACAACACAATAACAAAAAGAAAAAAGTGAGGATGAAATCTAAACATGCTTCTTTTGCTGCTTTTTTAGGAACTCACTCTAAAGTGAAGCCTCTAACCAGTTATAAGATAAGGCTTAGTGATATTTTCTTAGTGGTGTCAAGAGGTCATGTCCTTCCTCCTGATCAGAGCAAGGCTTGCTTTGAAGCCAACACTGGATCCTTTTCTTCTGGGTTATCTCTAGCAGAGACAAACTTTCTCCAAAGAGGCAGATTCCAGAGCTTCTTTAAGCAACCTGTCCTAATGTTGGCCACCATAATGACTCCCCTTTACCAGCTTAATTCTGTGATGTGGCAAATATTGAAATAACATAACCACTGCTTCTAAATTACATGAACCCAGACACATGGATTTACACCAAAGCAAGAAGTTTAGTTGTACTAATGCAAACTTGCTGTAAGATACTGCTTAATCATTTGCCCACAAAGCCAGGTTCAATATATGTTCACTGCATTTTGATTCTGATACACTGTGAGCTGCTTTCATAAACATGTTGTCCCACTTTCCAAGAATCTATCTCTTCTACTGATTCTGAGAACAAGCATGAAATGAAATAGAAAGCAGCATTCCATATTAAAGAAAGCTGTTAGTAACTCAAAATAACAAGTAAACTGGGAACAAGATGGACACTGAAAAGATTTGATAGATAAGTACCCTAAGATAAGTGGAAACTGGGACTCCTGAAGAAAAATTGAAACTGTTTAATCATATTCTGAATTATATGCTTTCCAGTCATCCAAAATACAACTACAAAAACTTTCCATTACCCAAAAGCAAGGTGTCACTTGATGTTTAACATGTATCAAAACCCCTTTGAATACACTGAGACTCAAGTGAGTTTTTAGACACAATGATTTTCTCCTATAATATGTGATCTTTGAGCTTGTTCTATTTAATAATACACCTACTACACTAAGCCCTTTGACAAATGCATCTCTAAGGAGAATATCAAAGAAACTTTTAACGTATGTATGTCCACCTTTCCTATTAGCAGCCTCAAAGGACATGTATTTTAAGAGGAATAAAACACCATTTATTAAAGGACTTTTTCTGTGTTTCTGGTTTGGTGTTTTGATTTTTGTGGGGCTTTCTGGGTGGGGGTGTTTTGTTTTTTCTGTTTGGCTTTTCTTACAAAGGCTCTAGCATGCCTCTAGCCCTACCTTTCCAAGGTCTTAGCTGAAAATTCTATGAGCCAATGGAGATACCATTGTGCAGGGAAGAGCCATAACAGTTCCTCTCTTCCTGCAACTGTTCATTACCAACCAGACTTCCTGTGTGGGTTGTATTTACTTTAACAGTCTTCAAAATGATTGACAGAGTTCCAAAGGGCCAGCAGGCTGCACACCTGTAAAGAGCAACCTGCCCCAGGGCAAGCCTTTAAGGATTATAGCAATTACAGCAATGCAGCTACATGGTAAAAAACCTTGCAGGTGGAGGCTCCAAAGAGATCCACTGGCCTGTAATTGTACTTGCTCTTTAGCAAGAAAATTATCCTGTATAGGTGGTATAATCAATACTATCTGCATGCACACAATTCCAAACCAGCATCTTTGTATGTATAACACAATATTTTCAAGAAATGAGACTATCATGTTTTTGTCTCATTCTCAGAGTTTGTCTCCTCAAAGAAAGTATTTATTATTGGTTAGTCCTGTGACTGCTCTATTTTGCTCTGAAGGGAAACAAGACTGAAAGTTAGTCATTAATGTTCAGAAGCCTGAAAATGTATTTATTATTAACTTATTTAGTAGTAATCTCATAGCTCTCTATTTGGAAAAATGTATTTAAATGAAAGTGTGAAATTAAGTTTCAATTAATTATTTTGTTTCATGCCAAATCGGAAACTTAATAAACTCATCTTTCAATACTAAGTGAAACTGCTATCAGAAGAGGACAATGTTTGATAAAACTATTATGATGAAAGTTAGAAAACTTCTATTCCAGTTGATAGCCCCAAAAAAGTAGAAAAAAAATAGACTGGTTATTGAAATGATACATTTGAGAAGAACTGTTATTTTGACAAACTTCAGGAGTCTGAGAAACATGTCTAAAGATTTGGGGTCAAGCTGTTCCTTAGAGCTTCTCCAAGATCTAATACAAATTAGATAGGTGTGCCCAACAGAACATTATACCCATGTCCAAAAAATAAATATATTCTAATAGTTATATAAACTTCTTCATGGTTACAGAATTTGTCGGCCTACCAAAAAAAGACCACAACTGAAGATTCTCTGAAGGAACAGATTGGCCATAGCAACTAGTACTAAATTGGACAGCTCCTAAAATTCTCATTCAAAGGCTTTTTTGTTTCTCCACTATTCTTCAGAGATTTTCACTCCCTCATTTTAAAAAAAGCTGGAAGAAAAAGAACAGGTTATGGAAAAAATAATATCCCATTCTTTGCTGAAATTTGAGCTCAGTCTGATTGGAAGGGAAAATGGCACATATCTTTATAGCTTTACTTAGAGCTCGGGTCAAATCCAATTTTTCTCAAGCTGCAAGTTTGGACACTAAAGAACTGTTTACAGGCAGGCAGTTTCCCTCTGTCACTGTAAGATAGCTTTCCCTAGTTTCAGCAGGGTAGCTTGTAACACATCTGATTACTGGAACTTTCTGCTACAGATGGAAAAGCCAGTATCTGGGAAAAAAATGAAAGCTGGTTCTGCCAATTATATCATTGATCTCTCACTTTGAGAGATAGTTCTCAGTGCTTTGAGAACACTGGCAA